GAGGGACAAGGGGACTAGCGGTACGGAGGTAGTCAGACAGCGGGGGAGGTGCAACAACGAGCGACGAGGGAGGAGGCGAGGGGAGGAGGGGAGGACGAGACGAGTGAGAACGGAGTAACATAGGATGGGAGCATGGGACAGGGGAGACGGGACGAGCACGGGAGGGACGGCGAGACCAAACGTGGGACGGAGGTGTAGGGTCAAGAGACAGTGGAGGTGACTCAAGGGGGGAACGAGGAGGAAGAAGGGCCGGAGAAGAGTCCAGGGGCGGGAACACAGGGCCGTAGACAGGAAGGGGAGGAGGCAGTGGGGGAGACACCGGTGAGCGGGCAGGTAAGGGAAGGCCGAGCAGGCGAAGAGTTCAGACAGCGGCGACGACTGTGGCGGCTGCTGCGGCGGCTGGTGCTCGACCCTCGAACCGGCAGGGGCACGACGACTTCCGGGAGAAACCTCAACAGCAGCACCCCCAGAACCAACACCCCCAGAGCGAGAACCCTCTCCAGCCCCAGCGGCCCGCCCAGGCCCGCCGGGACAGACCACACCAGGAGCCATAGGACGAACACCCTCCTCAGCGCCAGCACCCCCAGAGGCCAAGAGCGGCGGCGGCTGCGACGGCGGCGGCGGCGGCGACGTCGACGACGACGGCGGCTACGACAGCGGGGGTGGAGACACTAGGGAAGGGGGACGCGGCAAAGGCGGGGCGGGGGGACCACCAGAGACAGCAGACTCCTCAACCGGGACAACTGACGGAAGGGGAGTGACATGGGAGACACCAGACGGGGCAGGACGCAGCGGGAGGGGAGGAGGGGCTACCGGGGGAGAGGGGGCAAGGAACAGGGGGGAGGGAAACCAGGAGACCTCGGTGAGGGAAGCGACGGTAGAAGGAGACGGACTCGTCAAAGGTGACGTCACGAGAGTGGAGGAAGCGGTGAGACTGCGGGTGGTAGAAGAGCCAGTCAGACGAGTCCAGGGGGAAACCAAGGAAGACACAGGGGACAGTGCGGGCAGTGAGCTTGTCCGTGCCAGAGGCACAAACGTGAGCAAGGCAGCCCCAGACGTGGAACGCAGACGCGTCACCGGGGGACCCGGTCCAAAGGAGGGTCGGCGAAACCTGCGGCCGCTGGGAGCGTGGCCACAGGTAAGCTGGTGAGCGGCGTAGCGAACGTCGAACGGCCACAGAAAATGGGGTGCACCAGCATGGATCATGGAGGTACGAGCCACCTCCATGACCAAGCCGATGCGGCGCTCAGCAACCCCGTTCTGCTGTGGCGAGTCCGGCAAGGTGTACGACTGGGTGATGCCCTCCCCACGACAGAACTGTCCAAGCCGACCAGAAGCGAACTCTCCGCCATGGTCAGAGTGGAGACACAACACGGGGAGACCGCGGTGAAGACACGCAGCCAGAACCCACGGGAGAAGAACGTCAGGCACATCGGCCTTCCACTCCAGGGGAAACACCGTGGTATAGCGCGTGTAGTCGTCGACGAGCACAAGAAAGTAGCGCTCGCCACGCGGTCCGGGGACGGGGGCTGGGCCCCAAACGTCCAGGTGCAGGGTCTGAAGGGGAGCAGTAGCAGGGCAAAGCGAGGAGGAGTGAGGAGCACGGCGGAGCCGGCCCTGGACGCAGGGCGTGCACGGTGGAGCAGGCGAGAGGGGAAGGGCGGGGAGCGACGCGGGGAGGCCTTAGACAAGACCGTGCTGGGACATGTGATGCAGACACGGGAGTGCAGGGTGACCTAGGCGGTGGTGCCACAAAAGGGACGGTTGAGTGAGAGACCGATACGAGCAAGCTGCAGCGACCTGGGAGGACGCACCAACCGGGGGGGAAGCGGTGTCTAGGTTGAACAGTCCGGACACCGGGTCCCGGGGGAACGTAGCAAGTGGGGAACCTGAGACAGCCTCAGAACAGACAGCGAACCGCTCATGCACGGGGAACGTAGTGGTGACGCCGAGGTCCTGAAGACAGCCGACACCAACCAGGTTCCTCGAGAACGAGGGAACGTGGAGGCCTGTAAGAGAGCCCGAGGGAACTGCTGGACAGGGAAGGGACATGGAACTGCGAGCGACGACGGGACCCGAAGAGGGGTCAGCGAGAGAGACAACAGCAGGCGCAGCAAGCGGCGTAAGCGTGGAGCGGTCGCGGAAGAAACAGGCAGAAGCACCGGAGTCGAGAGTGAAGGACAGCGAGGCAGTGGCGGAGGCTGGGAACGGAGCCGGTGCAGAACCTATGCTAGGCAAACTAGGCAGTCCTACGCCTGACACAGCAGGGGAGGCTAAGCTACACAAGGGTGAGACACCTAAACTAGAGTACGCAGGGTAATAAGATCCAGGAACACTAGAAGCGTCAACATACAAAGCATGCAAAGCAGCACCTATCTGATCCATATCTAACTCAAAGACTGGCACGCCCTGGCGAAGCAGGCTGTGCCAGTCGGGGAGGTCCAAGGCCGGGCCAAAGCGACGACGAAAGAGATCGTCGAGGCGGCGGAAACAGCGGGCGGTCGGGTGCGGGCGGCGGCACGGAGTGCCGCGGAGAGGCCCGGTCTGAAGCTGGTACTGGCAGGTCACAGCACTGGAGCTGCCGGTAGACGCCAAGCTGCGCGGGCCAACACCTCGGCCACCACCGACGGAGGTGCCGGGCCAACCAGGTGGGAGACGAGCCCACGGCTGCGACGGCTGCTGCTGGGACGGCGGCGGCTGCTGCTGGGGCTGCTCCGGCTGCGAAGGCGACTACGTCTGCTCCTGCCCACCGGTGTTAGTCCCCTCAGGTGGACTACCGTCACCACCACCACTACCACCACCACTAGTGCCACCACCACGACCTCCCTGGCGGCCACGGCCACGGCCACCGCTGCGCGGACGCTGCTGTGGGTGGACCGCAGCTGCCGTCTCGGTAAGAGGGGTTGCAGTGGCGACCGCAGCCGAAACGTCAATAAACGTGCACTGGGAGGGGGCACAGCCGTGAAAGATAGAGACTGCCGGTGCACCGCTCGACTGAGCGATAAAGGGGGTCAGTGTGAGGTCACCCAGGTGCTGGCTAAGGAAGCGGTCGCGGGCACTAGCTAGGCGGTCCGGCAGGCGCATGGCGATAAAATAGAGGGTCATGCAGAATGGAGGGGGGAACGCAGTGAGCTGGGCAGCAGTGCCGGCAGTGCGATAGCGAGTCTCTAGGGCACGCAAGTGAGTTGCAAAGTCTGCGACAGTAGGGAAGGCAGCAAGGTCTGGGAACAGCATCGGGAAGAGCAGGCGGCCGGCAGAAGCGGATGCAGGTGTGGAATAGCGAGCAATAACAGCGTCTAAATAAGCTTTGGCCGTATCAACTATAGCGAAACGCGAGCGCTGAGACACAGGGAGGGCGTGACTGATAGCAACCTGAGCTACTGCATCGCGTGAGTCCCAGACCGCACAGGCAAGCGCAGCAGTAGAGAAAGCCTCACTCTCAGCGGAGGTGGGGTCAGCAGGGAGGGGAGCAGGTGCAGGGGGGCGGGGGAGCAAGCCATCAGCATGGACAACCAGCAAGTGCCCATCCTGGCGCTGACCTGTGAGCTGACGGCGGAGATCGGAGAGCCAGGCGACGAAGTCAACCACGTGGCCCTCATTGTCCAGGCGGAGCACGAAGTCAGCCATCGTGCAGGGTCAGTGACACAGCTCCTCAGCGACACAGCGGCACAACTCCACAGCTCGGCAGGAGCACAGCGGCACGGGGACACGGCGGCAGCACTCTCCAGTAGGGCGGCTGCGGGGCGCCCTGGCGCGGGCTAGCAGAGGACACGGGGCCCGAGGTGGCACGGCAGGCCGAGCAGGCACGAGGAGGGGCCAGGCGGGCAGGAGGAGGGGCCGGGCTGGCGCTGAAAACCGGGCAGGCGTGACAGGGCCGGGCTGGCACTAGGAGGGGCCGGGCGGGCGCACTGGGACTGGCGAGCGGTAGGAGAGGCCGGGCGGCGCTAGGAAGAGGCCGGGCAGGTGCTGCTGGGGCCGGCTAGGAGCGGGCTCGACGGTCAGGAGGCCGGCCAGGAGCGGGCGCGACGGCCAGTGGGGCCAGCTAGGGGCGGGCGCGAACGGTTAGAGGGCCGGCTAGGAGCGGGCGCGAACGGCCAGGGGGCTAGATGAGGGCGGACGCGACGGCCAGGGGGTCAGCTAGGAGCGGGCGCGACGGCCAGTGGGGCCGGCTAGGGGCGGGCGCGACGGCCAGGGGGCCGGCTAGGGGCGGGCGCGAACGGCCAGGGGGCCAGCTGAGGGCGGACGCGACGGCCAGGGGGCCGACTAGGGGCGGACGCGACGGCCAGGGGGCCGACTAGGGGCGGACGCGACGGTCAAGGGGCCGACTAGGGGCGAACGCGACGGCCAGGGGGCCGGCTAGGGGCGGACACGACGGCCAGGGGGGCCAACTAGGGGCGGACGCGACGGCCAGGGGGCCAGCTAGGGGCGAACGCGACGGCCAGAGGGCCGACTAGGGGCGGACGCGACGGCCAGGGGGCCAGCTAGGGGCGAACGCGACGGCCAGGGGGCCGGCTAGGGGCGGACGCGACGGCCAGGGGGCCGACTAGGGGCGGACGCGACGGCCAAGGGGCCGACTAGGGGCGAACGCGACGGCCAGGGGGCCGGCTAGGGGTGGACGCGACGGCCAGGGGGCCGACTAGGGGCGGACGTGACGGCCAGGGGGGCCCAGCTAGGGGCGAACGCGACGGCCAGGGGGCCGACTAGGGGCGGACGCGACGGCCAGGGGGCCGGCTAAGGACGGACGCGACGGCCAGGGGGGCGACTAGGGGCGGACGCGACGGCCAGGGGGCCGGCTAAGGGCGGGCGAGAGATTAGGGCGCGGGCGGAAGCGGGCGGGGGGACCTAACCTACTCGATACCATGTTAGAATACGTGAATGATTACTAGAAGGAGAAACCTAGAACAAATACCTGTTTCTAGGTTTCTAGGTGTACACACCTAGTCTAGCCTATAACTTCTACATAGAACATATGTATAAGTTGACATTATATACGGGGGATTACGGTAGAACAAAAGATGTGACAAGGCCCCAACTCAAATTTGAAATCCATTAGAGAACAGATGAATCCAGCTTTGAGAGGAAGAAGCAAGAAGATGCCATTACAAGGGAGGAAAGAACCTGGCAGTTGCGCATAAAGCCAACAGGGGGCACTTGCTACTTCGGCTTAGAAAAGGCAACCCACAACAACCAATCCATAAAAAATACAGGAAGGTAGGACATTACAACAGCCACTAGTGCCTGATGGCCATACAAGAGCCGCCACGGAGGACTGCCTTTACATAGCGCCACGTCAGCAAGCCGGGCAGCGAAATCTGCAGTGGGAGTTGCCCAAGGATTATTCGCACTGGCGGCAAACTGCTCTCTGTAGAAGGCCTCGAACGGCTTGTAGAGGCTGGAGCCTGCAAGCCTGGGAGCGCTGGCAAGAGCATTCCTGCGGCGCGCAAGGCGATAGGTGAAGGTAAACTCGTGCAGTAAGGTAAGGTGAGGCAAATCCACGAGGGGGCTATGGGGTAAGATACACATGCAGTGTCATTTGGGACCATGTCACCCTCTTGGTGGCACGAGGAGAAACAGCAGTGACTGGAAGACATGCGGCTTGATGTGGCCCCGTGTGACGAGGTAAGGTAAACATGCAGTGCATTGTGTGGTGATAACACAAACGTGTGACATGCGTTCTATGCGGTACACAATGGCACAAACTCGCCCTCTTGCTGTATTTTGGGCGATGCGGAAAAGGTAAAGATGCAGTGTTTCACAGCAGGACATACATGTGACATGTGTGCAGATGTGGCACAGATATGGCACCGATGTGGTGCAGATGTGGTGAGGAAAAAGGGCAGTCACCTGAAGATGTGTGACTTGATGTAGCCCGGTGTGACGAGAACGACGTCGATGCCGAATGGCCGCATCTCCATGCGCATGCTGCTGGTCGCCGCAGCGAGAGCCGCCTTGCTGGCGGAATAGGCACAGCTCCAGGGCCTGCAGCAGCAGAGGGGATTGTATGACCAATCACAAGATTACTTGCAAGGCACGCGCACGGAACAACAAGGAACTGCAAGGCGGAGAGCAGCATTGGGGTCAGGAACAACAAATGGTGTATGGGTCAGGGACAACAAGTGGTGTATGGGTCAGGAACAACAAGTGGTGTATGGGTCAGGAACAACAAGTGGTGTATGGGTCAGGAACAACAAGTGGCTTAGGCGTCAGGAACAACAAGCAAAAACGATGGATGTGAGGAGAGGGGCTTACCTGGTGACGTATGCCGCCACACTGGCCATATTCAAAATGCGAGAGCGAGTCCTGTGAGCCGCATGGGGAAGGCAGAGGGAGAGGAGGCAGAGGGAGAGGAGGCAGAGGGAGAGGAGTCAGAGGGAGAGGAGTGAGAGGGAGAGGAGTCAGAGGGAGAGGAGTGAGCACAGGATGTAAGCAGGGACTCAACGTCCTAAACGGCTTCACAAGTTTGCTGCTCCCGTTTTGGCAAGAAGCTGCTACTAGCGTGGTGAACACCTCAAGACGACGGTGGGGCAGAGAGATGGTGCCACTTACTCTTGCTGTGCCATGATGGGGAAGACGGCGCGCGCCATGGCCACAGCACCCAAGAGATTGACCTCCAGCACTCGCCGGAACTGGTCCAACGGCACATCCGCCACGGGGCACGGCATGCCGATGCCAGCGTTGTTCACGAGTATGTCCACCCGCCCCTCCGCCGCCACCACGTGGGCCACTGCAGCCTGGTGGCCCCGGGGGGGGGGGGGGGGGGGGGGGGAGAGGGGGGGAGTTACTGCTAGACTCGATTGCTCCTGCGCACATCCGCCACGGGGCACGGCATGCCGATGTGCACATTGTTCACGAGTACCTCCACCTGCCCCTCTGCCGCCACCACATGGGCCACTGCTGCCTGGTGGAGAAGGTGTGGCAAATGGGGTCAGGCTTTATCCTTGGGCGCGGCATGCCAATGCCCGCGTTGTCCACCCGCCCCTCTGCCGCCACCACGTGGGGCACTGCTGCCTGGAGAAGGTGGGGGCATTGGGGTAAACGTTGGTCCATCCATGGGCACATCCGCCACGGGCCACAGCATGCCCATGCCCGCATTGCCCGCGTTGCCCACATTGCCCGCATTGCCCGCATTGCCCGCATTGCCCGCGTTGCCCGCATTGCCCGCGTTGCCCGCATTGCCCGCATTGCCCGCGTTGCCCGCGTTGCCCGCATTGCCCCCATTCGTCACGAGAGAAACAACTCGCAACTCGCCCTTCTGTTGCCACCACGTGGGATACTGCTGCATGGGAATGCGGGGGCCTTCTGGGGTTTTGGGGGGTTCGGGTTCCAGAATTGAAGGCTGGAGATTGGGGTTCGGGGGGCGAGGGGGTGGAAATTGAAGGACGGATGCGAGAGTTGCAACCAACCCACGCGCTCCATGCAACCACCCCGGCCTGTAAGTATGGCAAGCGCGAAATTCTGGCACCAAGCCCACCAGATCCGCCCCCATAGTACTACTCAGTGCAACTCGCTCCGAAAGCCACGTTGGATGAAATGCTTTGTTGTGGGACTCTCACCTGGATAGATTCTTCAGAGGTGACGTCAAGCTCGAGGGTTCGAATCCCAGTGCCGTCATTTAATCCCTCCATTTCGCTCTCCTTCACTGCACTCGCGTACACCCGCGCGCCCCTCCGCGCCAGCTCCCTGGAAAGGACGTCATGGAGACGGAAATCGCGACGGAAAAAGCGACGGAAATTTGAGACGTAAAACGTTCAAGAGTTTTGATGCGGGCCTTCTCCGCATCTGAAAGTACACACGCCCCTTCGAGGCGCGGAGAGTCTCCGCACAAGCTTTCTAAATAAGGACGAGAGCTCGTAAGCTCTAAAGGACGAAAGCTCCTAGACGAAAGCTCGTAAGCTCTAAAGGACGTAAGCTTCACGACGTGGACGGTCCTGCACGAAACGAGCTTCTGTTACCTGGCTCTTGAGGTTTACCTTGCCGCGCTACGAGCTTACTCCGCGAGAGCATAGCCGATGCCACCCTGGGAGCACCCCGTTATAAGCACCACTGGACGGACATAAATTTCGTTCTTGTTGTTGGCGAAGGGTCGGCTGAACAGCCCGCCCATATTGGCACGTGGAACGATCTTATTATGGAAACCGCTCTTTGGAGTAGCACCTGATATGAACTAGGTATCGGACTTTAAGACGGAGAGTTCAGAACGCCACAGCGCAATCACCGGCATAAATCGCGGCGGCGAGCATGGGGAGGTGGTGGCCTGTCCTGAGGGCGACAACGATTCACGACGAGCTTTTCGTGCAATGTTGCGCAGTTACGTTAATGTCGCGAATTCGCAGCCGAAACTCGCAGATACAGTACCTCTGATCTGATCTGAAACCAGAACCAGCCTGTTGGTCGAAGCTGTTGGTCATCTGGTTCGGGCCGAGCGTACCGGATTTTTTTACCACCTCCGACGAATATCTCGTGCCAACGCAACGTGTCACGCGACTGCGTCATGCCGTTGCTTTCCCACTAGTGGTGGCTCGTGATGGTGGTTTCAATTTCGACACTGTATGCGTGGCGGTTGTTGGAATGCAAGCACTCATGAGGGCAGAGAAAACGGGCAACCCGAGATATCTGGGCACTTCCCTTGGCTGCCATCCGCAGCCACCGCCTCCTCTCTGGCTTTCTGAGGCTGGGAGACTTCACGGGCAATGACGGGATCCGCTGGGCAGACATGGTCACATGGGTGCATCAGGTGCGGTTTGTTCCAACCAGGGTTGTCGAGAGAGTATTTGGGGCTACCCTGGATCTATCAAGTAATTCCTCCAATCTACTACTGTAATTCTTTGGGCAATGGTCGAAAAACTCCTTCGAAGCCATTCGCTAGAATTGAGGGGACAAGAGGAGCCCAGGGGTGAAAAAAACCCAGAGCCTGTAACTGTATCTTCATAGAATTCAGAGTTATTATGGGAGATGTTAGGCCCTGAATTGATGGTTGGAAATGGAAAAGTTCCCTTACAGCACAAACACCGAATGAGAAACACGGAAGAGAGTTTACCCTAAACTGTACGGGTAGACACTCATCAGACAGCAAGATCACAGTGTACAGAAGGTGGTTTGCTGTCCGTAGCATGGCTGCGTGGCCAGCCGTGCGCAGTCGAAGAGATAAAGATTGCTTTATCACGCGCAGACACCGGACGACATTCCAGAACGAGAGGCGTTGAGGCCATCCCGGATACCCACTCTCTCACTTTTGTCCAAGTCAGCATATCGAACGGCTCTTGGGGCTTCTCCGAACATATCCCACCCCATGAATCTCCAGTTGCAGCACTCATTCTGACCGTGCCCTGATAAAACAGAAGCTCCACTTGAATCAGGCGGAGTTTCTAGATTGGGCGGAGACCAGAGCACAGCTGGCGGAACAGAGAGTGTCGCGTTGGCAGTTTTCGGTCCACCACGCCCGTGAATGGAAATGATGCGCGCGGGTTTGTTCCCCCGCAAGCTCCGCCCATGGTGTTCTCCGCTTGCCCCCTCCGCCTCCATGTGCACCACATCCGGGATCCACATCTTCCTTCTCCTTGCTCTGCGGCTAGGGTTTGGTCTGCGTTCAGCCAATGGTGGAGCAGCAACTGATGGTGAGGGTTTCGTGGCTCCACGAAAGATTTCCTGAAGCTCGTCACAACTCATGGTGGCTGGTGTTTGGCTGCTCTAGTCTCTTGGCTGGCCTAGTTTCCTAGCAAGATTAGCTCCCAGGTCAGGGCAGGATTTTCCGTCGTTTCCGCGTGCCAGCAGAATCTACGGAGCCGTTCCTTAGCTCGAGGATAAGTTATTCTAACAGTTGCTCTGGGCACACCGGTAATAGCTTCATGTTTTGGTATGGCAGGCGAATTCGGAGAAAATGTAGGGCCAGCGGACGGAAAAGATGACTGGCCTTGTGGAACGTCGAATCACCCAGATCATTGCGGGAGCCATGGAATCCATCAAGAGTTTAGGAAAATCGATCTTGAGAACAGGAGGGGACAGAACGAAGGTCTAGTCGTCGTTGGACCAATCCTAAAAAACGAGCGAAATCAGGAGCAGCAGAATCGGCAGGAGCAGGTCCAGCAGATACTCCCCGAGCAGCAGCCGCCGCCGCTGCAGGAAACGCTGCAGGAGCAGCAAATAGACGCAGTAAATATGGACATGGATTGTCCGGTAGTTGCGGCGGAGTTCGGTAGGGTTCCGGAGGCTGTAGCGGACGACGAGGAGGACGACAGAAATCGGAACGAGGAGGACGAGGATGGCGAGGAAACGGGCGACGACTTCGAGCTGCACGACGGGCCGATTAACAACGACTGCGGAGGCATCTCTGGGGGAGCGCCGGGGTGGGAGGCGTTTCTACCGCAGGGTAGTCTGAGGGTTTTGCTGGTCGAGGATGACGACTCCACCCGCCACGTCGTCGGCGCGCTGCTCAGGAACTGCTCCTACGAAGGTCCGTAGTGAATCGCTCTTAGTCGCTTCTACGAAGGTCCGTAGTGAATCACTCTTAGTCGCTCCTACGAAGGTCCGCACGGATCTGTTCAAGAAAATAGTCCGTCAGGGGAGCGCGCGCCTAGAAACCCGCGAATGTTCTCTAGTATCGTCCGGTCAATCCACGACATCAGAAGGCTTCGCAATAGGTAGCTATTTTTCCTCGCATTTCGCCAGTCATTTTCGGCCGTCGACAGCTTAGGATAGCTTAGGGCCCTCTAGTTTGCGCGAGTATAATTTTCTTCGAGGAAGTCTTCCGCTTTAGCATTGGTTCCGATAAAGGGATTCTCCCGAGCGCGCCTAGTTCTGTCGGCGCCTTTTCCGTAGTATTTTCCTCGTTGCAAACTGCAAATGTAGAAAGCGACATGCTTGCGGACAGCTATCTACTGACATAATTTGTAAAGCCACAGCGCGGCGTAATCCACCGCACCGATTATTGTAGTCTCCGTTCACCCAGGTCCGAGTGCGATCGAGCTAGATTCTTTCAGTTAGAACGGAGGACGCGCTCCCTGGTGGGCATTGCCGCAGTGCCGCGCGAGCGATTCTCGTCAGCGTCTCACGACGTTTACGTTGATTTCCCGGATAGTCCGTGTGTAATGAATCGATTTCGCTCGGGAGAATCCCTTTACTAGTCGATTTTTGAGTCGACTCATTACACACGGATTTCCCGGATAGTTCCCCGTGGCTGCGCCGGGCGCTCTCTCTGTCCTTTTCTCGCGTTCCTCTCAGCTCCTTGGATCGACTCTCCCCATGTGCATCTCTCTAGCAGTTTCACGAACATTTCGCGCATCTTTCGCCTCCCGACGTCTTCTCCTCGTCCCCTGGTCCTGCGCGCTCCTCCCCCATCCCCACCCAGCGCCTCCTTCACCCCTCACTCCTCCCTAATACCCAACCCCCTCCCGTCCTCCTCTCCCCTTTCCCTTCCTCCAACCCCCCCGATACAGTCACGCCCGCGTCCAACGGCGTGCACGCGTGGGAGCTGCTGACGGCGAGCGGTGCAGCGCGGTTCGATCTGGTGCTGACGGACGTGGTGATGCCGGGGCTGTCGGGCATCGGGCTGCTCACGCGCATCATGACGCGCGAGGCGCTCCGCGGCATGCCTGTTATCAGTGCGTACCCTCCCCTCGTGCTATCTTCCGCATTCTGACGCAGAGCAGTCTCCCCACGCATGCCTGTCATTTGTACGGATCCCGTTGGTTGCACGCCGTCTCGTCGCTCACGCCGTCTCTCACGGCTTGCATTCGACGGCGGCTTCGGCGCTTCTTGTCGCCGCATTTCGCGCCACTTTTCGCTCCACCTTCGCACCACATTGTGCACTCCCTGCTGCACCCCCTTGTGCATCGCTTTTTGGTCCGTCCCTTCGACGCCTCTCCACGCCTCTCCACGCCTCTCCACGCCTCTCCACGCCTCTCCACGCCTCTCAACGCCCAGTTTTGAGGCGCCTCAAAACTAGTCCGTCCCTTCGACGCCTCTCAACGCCTTTCAACGCCTCTCAACGCCCATGCTTTTCTACTCTGGTTCCTCACGTCGCCCCTCTCCTTTCGCCTCCCCCCCTCCCCAACCGCGTGGACATGGCTCTCAAGTGTTTCCAGCGCGGCGGACGTCTCTATTGACGTGCGCCTGACTGCTCTCATCCGCTCTCCTCCCCTCCTCTCTTGACCTCCCGCCCCCCAGTAATGTCGTCGCACGACGGCCTGGAGATGGTGCAAGTGTTGCCTGTTCTTATCTGCCGCTCCTATCCGACTCATCTCCGCTGCGCTCCTCTCCCTCTCCTCGTCGCCCCCTTTCCCCCTGTTGTGTGTTTCCCCCCCTCGCCAGTGATGTCGTCGCACGACAGCATGGAGATGGTGCTAAAGTGTTTCCAGAAGGGCGCGGCGGACTTCCTCGTGAAGCCGGTGCGCAAGAACGAGCTCAAGAACCTCTGGCAGCACGTCTGGCGTCGCTGCCACTCGGTACGTCTGCCGCCCATGCCACTCGGTACGAAGCGGCTGTGTGCAGACGACCCTTCTCCGCTCCATGCGGCCATGCGCTAACGCCTGATGGCCGTTTTGCTGCACTCATTTGCTCTCAATCGCTTGCCTTGTCGCATGTCACACGACGGCTCTGTCCCCTCTCGAACTCGAGAGCTCTGTTGATTTCACCAACATTTCGCCGCCGCTCTCGTGTTCGTCCCATATATTCCACCTTCTCCCTAGCGGCCCTAAACCCTGCTTCCAGCTGTCCGTTTGTCTGTTGTTGCTCTTTCTTTTGTGCGCAGTCGACGGGCAGCGGCAGCGGCAGCGGCAGCGGCACGAACGGAAAGGTGATGCGGGAGAAGCGCGGGCCGTACGAGGGCGACGGCATCGGGTGCAGCTTCAATGTCAACGGCGGCAGCGACAACGGCAGTGGCACTCAGGTTCGTATCCACTCCTCCCGTGCCGCTGCTAGGCCTACTACGAGTGTTGCTGGTAGTGCTGCTGCTGCCAGTGCTGCTGCTGCCAGCGCTGCTGGGAATGATGCGGGCGGTGACGCTGGGAGCCGAACCTGCTCGCCTGTGAGGAGCGCCCACCGCATTGCACCGCACAGCCCGCACTGCTCGGCACCGCACAGCCCTAAGCAGTCTGCACCGCCATTTCCAAGACTCTGCGCGGCTCCGCACTCCCCGCGGCGTCCCTCCACTCACGGCGCAAGGCACAGGCCGCTGCTCCCCTCATCCTGCACGGACGCTCCTCTCGCTAAAAGGACGCGAAGCTCCGAGGCTCGCCAACCTTCAAGCCCTGACCCTGGCTCGGCCTTAGGCTCGGACTCGAGCTCGGTCTGAGGGCCGGAATCTTGAGCTCGAGCCCAGGCTCGGGTCACGATGGGACGAGGCAAGCCACCTGCTTTGGCTTCTCCTCCCTCTTCACCTCTGCATCTCCTCACCTCCTCACCTCCTCACCTCCTCCTCCTCCTCCACACCACCCTCCATTGATCAATTCCTGGAGTGACATGAGCTGCGCCCCTCCACTGCCACATTTCACGGAGTGACATTGGCCACGCCACGCCTCTCATGGCGGCCGTGTGGGGCACGGCGGAGTGACACTAGCCACGCTACCCTCCTCTCCACCTGGTTGGCAACCCTCTCACCGCTTCTCACCGCATTGTATCTGCTCTGCTGTGCTGTGTGCCTGTGTCCCTTCCTCGGGGCACCCTTGTGGTTGGGTGGGGGTGCTGGGGGGGGGAACAGGCCAACGCCAACGCGCCCAAGGCGAATGTGCGGGAGAAGCAGGAGAGGGAGAATGAGCGCGAGAGGGAGAGGCAGGCGGAGGGGCAGGGCAACTGCGACGGCACGGGGAACGACCAAGGTAATGATAGGGACTGGTAACTCTCCCTAACGGCATAGGGACTGGTAACTCTCCCCCTCTCGCTCACTCTCCTTCCAAATAGTTCCTTATTCGCCGTCCTGCCGTTCTCCTGCTGCTGAAGCTCCGTATGAGTTTCGTCTTCCCTTGTCTCAATGCCTGTCCTCTACCACCGTTCGGCCTCTCGTCGCATCACCACTTCGCTCCACCCTCTCCTTTTGTCTTCTCTGCCCAACCCCACCCACCCCCTCCACTCCCCCCCCCCGCCGCCCCCCCCGCCGCCCCCCCGCGCTTCCCGTCGTCCCTCCTCGTGTCCGTTTCGGTCGTTTGCGTGAGGAGTCTATTTTTGAGGCGCCTCAAAAATAGACTCCTCACGTGTCGGTCGTTTGCGTCCCTCAAACTCTCTCTTCTCTCTTCCGCTGGTGTCTCTCCGCGCCTCTCTCCGTCGCAGCAGCAGCCGGCACAGTGGTCGGCTCCCACTCCGCCGTACCCCACACTGCCGCCGCTGCAGCGGGCACATCCAACCCCTTACCCCCCAACACTGCTGCGGCTGCTGCTGCTGCTGCCGCTGGTGCTGCTGGTGGCAGCGGAGGGGGAGGAGCGGCGGGCCGAGACGGTGGTGCTGGTGGTGCGGGCGCTGCTGGGTGCATGGGTATGGGGGCGGCGTTTGCGTTTGGGATGGCGGGAGGGGTGGCGGCGATGCAAGTGTCTGGGGAGGGCTCCACGATTAAGAAGGTTGAGGAGTCGCTCTATGGCGGCGGTGGTGGAGGGGGAGGGGAGGAGGGGGAGGGGGAGGAGGAGGAGGAGGGGGAGCAGGCGGGGGAGAAGGGGTTGAGGGGCACTTGGTGGCGACTCCCCTGAAGGAGGAGCATGGGGGCGTGCGGGGGAAGGGGGTGGCGGAGGTTGGGGGCGCGACGAGTTGGCGCATGCGGGGCGGGGAGGAGGAGGAGGGGAGGGAGATGGGCCGGGAGAGGGAGCGGCGATGGGCGCATGAGAGGCGCGGTATTGAGGGGGGAGGAGGAGGAGGAGGAGTAGGAATATCTGCAGCAGCTGCTGGTACTGTTGGCGCTGCTGGTGCTTTTGGTGGTGGTGGTGCTGCTGCTGCTGCCGTTGGTGCTGTTGGTGCTGCTGCTACAGCTGCTGCGAGAGCGGCGGCGACAGCGACGGAGCATCATCTGGTGTCAGGCGCGCGCGTGACGACGGCGCCAACGCTAGCGTCGGAGGAGGCGGCGCTGCAGATCGGCAACGAGAGCGAGGGGGCGTCGCCGCGCGCCGAGGAGGACCGCGAGAACGAGGGCACCTCCGCCGAGTCCACCAGGGAGGCGTCCGCTGAAGCCATGCTGCTGGGAAATCTCACTCTCGGGGCCGTGGGTCCTGTTGGTCCAGCTCTGCCTGCCTCTGCGCCTGCTGCTGCTGCTGCCCTGGGAACCGCTCTGCAGTCTGCCGCCGAACCTGCCGGCCGGCCTGTTGCCGGGCCTACTGCAGGACCTTCCGGACCTGCTGCTGCGGGTCTGGCTGCGAGGCAACTTGGGCTGGCAGGAGCTGTGGCTGCAGAGCTTGGGCGACACACCGGCAGGGTTGTTGACGCGGCGGCTGGTGGTGGTGTTGGGAGCGGTGCTGCGCGGTGGGGGAGAGGCGGCGTGGGGAGGGGGAGGGGGAAGGCGGCTGCGGAGAAGGTAATGCCCGGGGAGGCGGAGATCAGGGACGATGGGTCCGGGGGAGCGGCGAGGCGAGTGGCGGACGGCGATGGCGCGGCGTGCAGCGGGCCCAGCAGGAAAGTGGTTGAAGGGAGAGAGGGGGAGGGGGGGGGGGGAGAGGATGTGGAGATGGGTGAGGGGGGAGAGGAGGGGGGTGTGCGAGAGGGAGGAGGAGAGGGGATGGAGGAGGATGGGGAGAGGGGGGCTGAGGGGAAGGAGGCCCAAGTGCGGCTGTGGAGGGGTAGGCGAGTGAATGGGAATGAGGATGGGGTGGGGAGGGGCGAGGGTGGGACTGGTGCTGGTGAGGCGGATGTGCCGGGCGAGAGAGGTACGGGGGAGGCGAATGAACCCCAACAACGTTTGAGTGAACCCCATCAGCGACAGCGTCAACGCTACCACCACGCCCAGCAACAGCTTCAGAAGCAACACCAAGACAAGCAGCTAGCCCAGCAGCACGGACAGCACGAGCATCACCTGCTGCAGCCGCAGAAAGTCTCCGCCTTTACACGGTATGCCCGCCAGTGCATGCCAAAAGGTCACGTCACAGAGTGCATACCCGCCTGCCTCACAGAACGCATACTGACCTGGCTTGTGATTTATGAGGCGCCTCAAAAATAAAATCACAGTGCATGCCAAAACCGAAAGGTCACAGAATGCATACCCGCCTGCCTCCCAGAACCCATGCTGACCGTCGTTTGTCTTTGGGCCCGTTTCCCTGGGCATCTGCCTGCTTGCCTTTCTTTCATTCTTCCGGTCGTTCGTTCTTCCGCTGGCTTGCGCGCTCCCCCCCATCCTTGTGCTCCTCCCCTTCTGCCCTTCCCCGACCATTTCCAGATACCACACAGCAGGCCCAACCACCAGCACACCAGCCAATCATACCCTGCTACCTGGCGCGCCATCTCCTGCGGCAGCTGCCGCCACTGCCGCGACAGCGCAGCTCGCCAGCGCACATGAGGCCCCCACACGAGCGAAAGGCGATGTTGCTGCCGCCCCTTATGCCCCTGGGCCCACCGCTCCAGGCTCGCATATAATCGCCTCTGGCAACCCGTCCTCGGGTGTCACTGCTTCTCACGGCCTGGCCACTGGTTCCCACGGCATGCTGTGTTCCCATGGCATCCCATCCTCCGGTCACGAGTGCGCTGCAGGGAGCACGGCCGCAAGGGGCGGGTATGGGAAAGGGACGCACACCGGCAGAGTCGTTGGCTTCTGTGACTCCGTGGCTGGAGGCGTGCTGCAGAAAGGCAAGGGCCCGTTGCCCTCAGTGCCGGCTGCGCAGGCTGCTGCTGCTGCTGCTGCCGTTCCGGTGTGTCATGCGCTGGTGGACCAACAGCAGCAGCACCTGCCGCTCTCCTCACTACCTGCCCCCACCCATAAGCCGCTTGCTGCTGCTGCTGCTTTGAAAGGTACTGCCGGTGGTCCGTGTGCCGCCACTGGTGCTGCTGCTGGCATGGGGGCAGGCGCGTCAGGAGCAACGTTTGCAGGGGTGAGCGGAGTGACTAGCGCCCGCGGCAGTGGCGCCGTCCCTGCTGCCACCGCCTCTGCTCCTGCTGCCGCTGCTCCTGCTGCCACGGGTGCTGCGAGCCTCGTGCCTCCGTGCTCGGCAGCGGCTGCTGCTGCTGCTGCTGCCGGGTCAGCCCCAGCCTTCTCTGCTGTCCCCGCTGCGCCTGGCCCTGTTTGCGCTGCTCCCCCTGCTGCCAGCGGCACTCCCGGCCCGCCCTCTCACTCCCCTGCAGATGCCAGGGGAGGGGCGCTGCTGCTCAGCACCTCCGGGTGCCCTGGGGGGAGGGAGGGCGGGGGAAGCGGGGGAGGGGGAAGCGGGGGTGGGGGAAGTGGGGGAGGAAGCAGAGGGGAGGGTGGGAGTGGGGGAGGTAGTGGGGGGAACGGAAGCGGTGGGAATGGCAGTGGGGGGAACGGGAGTGGGGGGAACGGCAGCGGGGGGAACGGGAGGACAGACCGGTCGGGCGCTGGAGGGGAGTTGACAGAGGCAACAGCCGCGTCAGTGACGGGAGGCATAACCGGGGGAGGTCACACCCACCGCAACGGTATCACCTCTGCTGTCACCCGCCTCCCTGCTCCTCCTCCTGCTGCTGCCGTCCCCGCAGCTCCGACCGCCCCTTTCTCAGCTGCTGCTGCTGCGGCTGCTGCTGCTGTCCCTCCTGCTCCTACTGCTGCTGCCACCGCTGCAGCAGCAGCGGCTGCGGCTGCTGCTGGTTTGTTTCCTCGTCCGTTTGACCCCAGCATTGCAGCGGCTGGATTGTATCTGCAATCGCCCGTGTACTATGCGGCTGCTGCTGCGGCTGCGGCGGCTGCAGCTGCTGCGGTGGCAGCAGGTGTCCCTCCCCCCTGGACGTGCCCTCCGCCTCCTCCCAGTGCTCAGAGCGCAAATCAGCAGCAAGAACAACAGATGCAACAGCAGATGCTGCAGCAACACCAGCGACAAAAGCAACAAGAGGGAGGGGCGTCAGGGCAGCAACAGGTGCAACTGCTGCCACGTCAGCCACCCCTGCGACCGCCACCGCCACCACCACCACTGGCACCACCGGCAGCGCCCGTATCGTCACAACAACACAGCCACCACCAACAACAACAGCAGCAGCAGCAGCAGCAACTCTCCGATTCACGGCGGCGGTTGCTAGAAGCACCCACGTTCCCCGCATCTCAGTTCCCCAGCCCCACTCGCTTTGCGCCTGTCACCATGCACAGCCGGACCCCCCCGCTCTGCCTTCCGCGCCCCCATCCGCACGCCCTCGCGCACCCCCATCCGCACCTGCCCTCCCACTCCATCCCCCCCCAATCCGCGCCCCCACTATCAATGCCCCAGCCCATCGCCCCCCTGCCCTTGCTGCAACTCTCGCGGCAAAAGCAGGCTGGGCAACGGCTGGAGGAGAGGGAGGGATTAAAGCAAGCAGAGAAGCCTCAGCCGCAGCCGCCGCAGCCGCAGCGAGAGCAGGACGAAGAACGGCAGGCGCAGGAAGAGCAGCAAGAGCAAGAGCAAGAGCAGGAGCGGGCGCAACAACAAGATCAAGCCCCGTCTCTCCACGCCTTGGCTTCTGGAGCAACCGCTGCAGCAGCAGCAACAGCCACACCGACTGCAGCGGCCAGAGGAGCGGCCCCAGGAGAGCCAGCAGGAAACTCACCTCCGCTGCCGCCAGCGCTGCAGCAACCGCGGCGGCGGCAACAGACGCAACACCTGGCGAAACACCTGCTGCCGCCCCCCCCACCCCCCGCTGTGGCTAGCCCTTGTCGAGTTCTCAAGCAGAGCGAAGCGAAGAAGGAAAGGGAGACGGGAGGAAGCACGGCGAGGGAGGAGCGGATGCAGGTGGATGGTGCAGCAGGGGGGGTTGCTTTGATGCGGGAGAGACGAGAGGAGCGGGGAGGGAACGCGGCGGAAAGGGGAGCGGCTGATGCTGTGAAGGTGAAGACTGAGGCGAATGCTGGAGGGCAGGAGAATGCTGCTCCTGCGAGCAAGTCCCCTGCCTCGCCCCGGGCTCCAGTGCAGCACGTGAACTCATTGCACAGCCAGCAGCAGCAGAGCCATGGGAAGCTGCGCGTGTCGTCAACAGAGGCTTTGCATTGGGTGGAAGACTCCAAGGTGCAGCAGCAGGGGCAAGTGGTGCAACAGCCAGGGCAGCAGCAGCAGCAGCGGCAGCAGCAGCACCAGCAGCACCATCACCACCACCACCGGCACCAGCACCACCACCATCACCATCGCTTGCACTCCCACCCGTCGTTGCAGCAGCAGCACAGCGTCAGTGTCATGTCGCCTGCCAACCCAGGCGCTGCTGCTGCTGCTGCCGCTGCCGCTGCCGCCACTGCTGCTGCTGCTGGTAGCAATGGGGCCGATGCTGCAGCTGCAGCAGCCGCTGAAGCAGCGATGGACGCGAGAATGATTGCTAGTGGAAGCGGAAGTCCGGAAGGGGGAGGATCCAACCCCCATAACACCGCAGCAGCTGCAGCCCCGGACGCAGGTCCGGGAGCTCCTTCAGGGCACCACCGAGCCTCGGCCGCAGCTGCGGCTGCCGTGCCTCGAGGCGAGGTCGGGAACGACGGGAGCACCAATGTGCACGTGAAGGGCGGCGGTGGCAGGAACGCGTGCGAGGGGGTTAATAATAGCAGCAGCAGCGGCGGCAATGGCAACGGCAACGGCAACGGCAGCTCGGAATACAATGAGAGTGGCGACACGGGTAGGAATATGGCGGGGAGTGGCCATGATGGGAGCGGCGGGAGGAGTGGGAGTGGGGGAGGGAGCGGAGGGCGGAGTGGGCAAGGTTCGGGGGGAGGGGGGAGCGGGCAGGGCAGTGCCGGGGGCAGCGGAGGGGGAAGGGGAAGCGGGGGCAGTGGGGGCAGTGGGGGGAGTAAACGCGGGGATGCCAGCGCGAATGGGGCGCATGAGTGGAGCAGAACGGGGGGAGGGACGGGCGGCGGGGGGATTCAGGCGCTGCTGTCGTGCGCCAATGGCAGTGCGGTAGGCTCCAAGGACCAAGCCCACGACACGGCAGGCATGCCTGGTAAGGGGGGGTGGTTCCAGTCCAGTCAAAAGGGGAATGGGGGGGGGGGGAGCGGAGGAGAGGGGCGTACAGGCGCGGGGAATGGGGTTGAGGGGATGGGGAGTGGGGGAGAAGGGGGAACGGGAGGCAGGGGAGGGGAAGGGAGCGGGGGGGATGGTGGGGGAGTGGGGGAGGAGGGGGGTCAGGGAGGGGGAGTGGAGGCGGGGAGGGGAGTGGCGGCGAGGGGAGCGGAGGGGAGGGGGGGACGGGGGGGACAGGCAATAGGGATGGGAGGGGGGGAGTGGAGGAAGGGAGGAGGCAGTCAGGGGGGCAGTCGGTGAGGCGAGAGGGGAACGCCATGGGAGGTGATGGGGGAGAGGGAGGTAGGGATGGTAATGCGGCCGCCGTTGGTGCGGCTCCTACCCCGCTCCCTGCTCCTGCTGTTCGTGGTGCTGGTGCTGGTGCTGGTGCTGCTGTTCCTGGCTCTTCTGCTGCCGCTGCCGGTGCTGCTGGGAGTGGGTTGGAGGGGGCGCGGGACAGAGGGAGGGGAGGCGCGTCAGAGGCAACGGAAGCACTGGAGGTTGCAGCCAGGGATCTGAGAGGCGAAAGGGCAGAGGGCCAAGAGGGCAGCTATTTCAACAATCCTGGTGCGGCTGGTGCTGCGGCTGGTGCTGTGCAACTGGTGGGGCGAAAGCGAGGCAGAGAGGAGGCAGGGGGTGATGAGGTGGTGGTAATGGAGAGAAGAGAAGCGAAGGAGGGGAGAACGGGAGGCGAGGGAGAAGGCAAGGGCAGCAGAGAGCGGGCGTGGCTCGCTGAGGAGATAGGCGCGGAGGGGGATGAGCAGCGGCAGCTGCAGCAGAAGCAGCAGCGAGGCCAGGCGAATAAGGAGGAGGAGCAGGAGGTGGAGCAGGAGGAGGAGGATTGTGTGGATGTGCACATGAGGGACGGTGGTGAGGGGCAGCAGGAGGAGGAAGGCGATGAGGAGGGGGAGGAGGAGGGGGGAGAGAGGAGGGCCTTGGGTGGCGATGGTGAGCGGTGTGAAGGGAGGAGGGACGAGGCGGGGCAAGAAGAGGGCGCAGCAGGGCTGCTGTCGCTGTCAGCCTCGCTCGCTGCACCTGCCATTCCTTCCACTGCACCTGCTGCTGTTGCTGCTAGTGCCGTTGCGCTGGCTGGAGCAGAGGCAGCAGGAGCGGGGGCAGCAGAACGGGCAACTGCAGGGGGGGGAGAACACGCAGTGAGCGGGGCGGAAGGGGCGGAAGGTGCTGGTGGTGCCGAGGGGGCTGGGGGGCCGATGAGTCGGCAGGCGGTGCGGGAGGCGGCGCTCAACAAGTTTCGGCTCAAGCGCAAGGAGAGGAACTTCGAAAAGAAGGTGCGCCTTCTTCCCATCTCGTCTCCTTTTCTCTGCATCTCCTCCCCATGTTCCACTCCCCATTACGACCCCTGTCCCCGCGTTCCCCCTGTCCCTGCGTTCCCCCTGTCCCTGCGTTCCCCCTGTCCCTGAGTTCCCCCTGTCCCCGCGTTCCCCCTTGCCAGCTGTACCCACCTCTCTAACTGTTAACCACTGCTCTCCCCCTTCCCCCCACCACCCTCCCCTTGACCACCCCTCACAGGTGCGGTACCAGAGTCGCAAGCGCCTGGCGGAGCAGCGGCCACGCTTCAGAGGGCAGTTCGTTCGCCAACCCGCCCTTCCTCCCGCTCCTCCTGCTCCTCCCGCTCCTCCTACCTCTGTGCAGCAGCACCTGCCTCGGCCACCTCCGCTCTCAGCCCGTGCCCATGGGGGGAGTCCTGGCTGCCCGCCCTGTGCTGTGCAGCTGCCAGTGATGGCCGTGCAAGGCTTGGGGGAAAATCAGGTCCCAGAGCTCATGGCAGCACATGCTGGAGGCCACCACGTTGGCAGGACCATGCAGCTCTTCCCAACTGCCCCCATGCCCGGCTGCCGCAGCCGCTGCTCCTCTTTCGCCCGCTGCACTGCCCTGTGTGCTGAGCAGCCATGCGCAAGAAAGGGTATTTATCAGCCACAGCAACGGCATCAGCATCGGCAGTTTTGGGGCCAGCGGCAGTGCGAGTGGAAGCGGAAGTGCGAGTGCGAGCGGGCGGGTACCCGAGAGCAGCTACAGTGCAGCAGTGGCGGATATGAGCTATGGTGCAGCCGTTGCTGATATCAACGGCCCAGATTCCTCTGCTGGCGTGCCTGCTGCTGTGGCTGGCTTCCTTGCTGCTGCTCCTGCTGCTTCTCCCGCTGCTGCTGCTGCTGGGGGGGGGGGTGATGGGGGCTTGGGGAAGAGTGTCTGGGGGGAGAGAGGAGAGAGTAGAGAGGGGAATGGTGCAACGAAGTGGCCTGAGAGATGAGATGCTGACACCTTTTAACTATGATGGGCTGACACCTAGAGGGTTGGGAGGATGACACATGGACAGCTGACATGCTGACATGTGGAGGGATGAGAGGCTGACACCGGGACTGAGATGCGAGTGAGAATCTGCTTTTATCATGGACTGGATTGGTAGTGGGAGGGATAGAATGGCTTTGCAGCATGGCTAGCATGTGATAGCAGTGCCTTGCTATCCGTTTTTTGGGCTAGGCAAGCCCTTTGAACTACACGATGACGAGTTGACGAGGACAATGGAGGATGCGAGGGGATACTGAAGTGTCACGGGTTTCAAGGAGGTGCGTTTTGGAGGGTCTAAGGTCCTCAGCATGCCTTTCTGTAGATATGTGCCCTAGTGAGCTGCAGCCTGCAGGCCCCTCTGATATCCCTGCTCTTTGTGAATCAACATTAGGTGATGTAGGCGTGCGTAAAGGAATGCATGTAATTATTTGGTTGAACATTGAAACCAGATAAGAGAGATCATCTGGTGGTTTCCTTCTAAGTGATTCTTCCTAGCTTCAATAGAGGTAAATCGGTATGCGTACACATGAGCCCAGTAGTCTGAAACAAACACGCTATTTCGGGCCTGTTCGACTGTTAATAACGAGTCGAGGCTCTGACAACCCCTGCTTTCCCTAACGGTTCCCTCGCAACTTTGACCCGCCGTGGCACAGCGAATTCCAGGTTCCTAGAGTTTCAGCAGGCCGATCTGTCGCAGCATTAGTAGCGGTGAGCAGACCAGTCGTGCATCCTCTGCTACCAAATCAGGCGAGCATCCTCCCGGCTATTCTCGTGATCGACGCGCGTCCGAATCTCCATCATGGTTCTCGAGGTACGCTCGCTCTACAGTTCTTCGCTCGTGGATCGTAGATCTCGCCGATTCATTCAGTTTTCAACTGACCGCACTCGTCGAATTGGAGACACGCAGACACGTCAGACTCGCTAGACGATCGCAGACACTTCATAGGCATTAGACGCGTCGGTCCGCAAATCGCACTGCAGCAGCTATCCTTTCTCCCTCCCCTCCTGATTCCTCCCACGGCCACCGTGGCGTGTGTCGACCCGCAATTCCGAGTGGATGCGCGGATGCAAGCACGCGTGCTCGCCACAGGCAGTGCGTCGGGCAATCCCTAGGATCTCCTTTTTCTATGCTCACTCGCTGGTCGCTCTGCCGATACCTTCTCGTTTCTCCTTTCCCTCCTCTCCCGTCCCCAGGCCACCGTGGAGCGTGTCGGCAACTCCGAGGGGATGCGGAATGGTGACTGGGGAGTCGCCAGGATCCCTGCTGACTTGCTGGTCACGTTAAGCGATGCCTTAGCGATGCCTTAGCCATTCTTTCTCCTTTCTCTCCTCATTCCTTCCTCTCCCCACCCCTCCTTAGGCCACCGTGGTGTGCGTCGGCAACTCCGAGGGGATGCGTGTTCGTCATGGGGACTTGCCTACTCATGCAGATTCTCTGGTCCCTCCCTCGCCCCTCTCACGCCCCTCCCTCGCCCCTCCCTCGCCCCTCCCCAGGCCACCGTGGTGTGCGTAGACAACTCCGAGGGGATGCGTGCCAGGGGGCTCCCCTATCCATCGATGTGCTCCCGTCCTTCTCTCCGTCCCTCCCTCGCCCCTCCCCAGGCTACCGTGGTGTGTAGACAACTCCGGGGGGATGCGGAATGGAGTTTACCTCAGGATGCGTGCCACAGGGGTTCCCCTATGCATGGAATGTCCCCTTCCTCCTCTCCGTCCCTCCCTCGCCCCTCCCCAGGCCACCGTGGTGTGCGTAGACAACTCCGAGTGGATGCGGAATGGCGACTACGCGCCGTCGCGCTTCCAGGCGCAATCCGACGCGATTAACCTCATCTGCGGCGCCAAGACGCAGGTGAGCAGCGCTGGAGACGTGCCGAGAAGCCGGTGAGACGCAGGTGAGACCAGGTGAGACCAGGTGAGCGACGCTGGAGAGGCGCCAAGTTGCAGGTGGGCGGTGTAGGTAAGGTCGCGATACCAGTCACTAAATAGAAGGGAAAGAGTTTAGACGGATTATTATCTATAAAAGATGCAAGGAAGTGCTCGGTTTCATCTCGTGAAAGCTTCAATTATCGCTTTCACTATCTTCTTTGCTTTGGACCCGGTGTTAAACATGATACTCCCCCCCTCCCTTCCCCCCCTATTCCCCCTCCCCCTCCCCCCCCCCCCCCCCCCCTCTCCCCAGCATTCATGTATGGCAGTCGAATCCTGAGAACACCGTTGGTATTCAGTTTTGAGACGTCTCAATACTAAATCCCCCCCCCCCCCTCTCCCATTCATGTGTGGCAGTCGAATCCCGAAAACACTGTTGGCATTCTGACCATGGCGGGTAAAGGCGTGCGCGTGCTCGTCACCCCCACAGCCGACCTTGGGAAGATCCTCTCCACCATGCATGGTGCGCCACTCATCCCTTTGTTCTGCATGCATGCCGTTTCAATAAGTCGCCCCCGGTTTCCCTTGTCGATGAAGGCCACGATCAAGCTGACTGGTTACAAATCAAATGGCGTCCCTTCTTCCTACTCCTCCCCGTGCATCCTCTGGTTGCTGCCAGGCCCGGACGTGGGTGGGAGGAGACACCAACCTGCTGCCAGGGGTGCAGGTGGCTCAGCTGGCTGCATATCTCTTTCTCCTTTTTTTTATCTTTCTTAATTTCCTTCTTTCGCTCTCGCCTTGTGTGATCCAACCACACTCTCTCTGGTCCCTCCCTGCCAGGTTTGGAGGTGGGCGGGGACACCAACCTGCTGTCCGGGCTGCAGGTGGCGCAGCTGGCGCTCAAGCACCGGCAGAACAAGAACCAGCGCCAGCGCATTGTCCTCTTTATCGGCAGGTGCGTTACAAGCTGGTAGGGGAGTTTGAGTCTACTAGCAGTTCGCTGAAACACCGGCAGAGCAAGAACCAGCGCCAGTGCATTGTCCTCTTCATTGGCAGGTGCGATATAAGCTGGTATGTGCCCTTGTGTCCACTTATCTGTACCCTCACTTGCACACTCCTGACCGAGCTGCTGCCCCTGCCCCTGCCCCTGACCGTGCCTCTCCCCCTGCATCTGCCCGCACCCCGCGCCAACTCCCTCCAGCCCTGCGCCTGCAGATGTGGACGCGCTGGTGAAGGCGGGAAAGAGGCTGAATAAGAGCACTGTGGCGTTGGGCATAGTGCGCTTCGGGTCGCCTCTGCTGTCCCTCCTGACCCCCACTACACGTCCCCCCCACCCCCCAGCCCTGCGCCGGTGCCTGCAGACACGGACACGCTGGTGAAGGCGGGCAAGCGGCTGAAGAAGAACAGCGTGGCGCCGGACATAGTGAGCTTCGGATTACCTCCGCTCCTCCCCAACCAACCGGACGCATACTCCCCTCCCGCCTGCTTCCCCCCCCAACTCCCCAGCCCTGTGCCTGCAGACACGGACACGCTGGTGAAGGCGGGCAAGCGGCTGAAGAAGAACAACGTGGCTCTGGACATCGTGAGCTTCGGGTCGGAGGAGGAGGACGAGCAGAAGCAGGCGAAGCTGGAGGCGCTGCTAGGCGCCGTCAACAGCAACGACAACTCGCACCTCGTGCACGTGCCGCCTGGGCCCGCTGTGCTCTCGGACGTGCTCATCAGGTGAGACGCCCTGTCAGCTCTTAGTGCCTTGTAAGGTGCTTTTAAACTTGAGGGCGCTGCTGCTGATAGCTGCTTCAACAGCAGCAGAGTCAGCAGCTGTGTTCCCTTGTATGCTGTGGCTCTTCTCGTGGGGGCTATGCATCTTCTCATTTCCCCCCTCTCACCCATCCCGCCCTCCCCTCTCTCCCCCCCGCTCCCCCCTTGTCACACGCAGCTCCCCTGTGTTCACAGGGGACGGGGAGGGCGGCAGTGGCTTCGCAGCAGCAGCAGCGGCGGGGGCAGCGGCAGCAGCGGCAGCAGGAGGGGGCGGGCTGGGGGGCGACTTCGACTTTGGCGTGGACCCGAGTGTGGACCCGGAGCTCGCCCTGGCGCTACGTGTATCCATGGAGGAGGAACGGGCGAGGCAGGAGGCCGCTGCCAGGAAGGCTGCTGAGCAGGAGGCTGGTGCTGGGGGTGGTGGGGGGAGTGGTGGGGAGGGGGAGGGGGGGAAGGGGGATGTGGCGATGGGGGAGGGGGAGAAGAAGGCGGACGAGGGGCGGGCCACTGCTGCGGCTGCTGCTGCTGACGTTGCCATGGTGAGCTCTGCCTGCTGCTGCTGCTGCCTGTACTGCCAAGTCCTTGCGGTTTCGCTTAACCCGTCCTTGCCTGTCACTTCTCCTACACTCTGTCACCCTTCGTCATGCCAGGACGACGAGGCAGCACTGTTGCAGCAGGCGCTAGCCATGTCCATGGCAGCAGCAGAAGCAGCAGGGGCGGGAGACGCTGCAGATGGTACGGAGCCAGACTAACCCACCCTTTTCTCCCCCCTCTCACCACCAGGACGACGAGGCAGCTCTGTTGCAGCAAGCCCTGGCCATGTCCATGGCAGCAGCAGCAGCGGGAGGGGCTGGAGATGCTGCCATGCTGGATGCTGCTGCTGGAGGGGAGGATGCTGAGCTGGCACTCGGTGAGTGGTCCGCTGCTTTTTCGTGCTTGTTTGCTTCCCCGCGCCTGTTTCCTTTTCGTCTGCCCATATGCTCTTCTTGTACGCGCCTCTCCGCCTCCTCTTCTTGCCCTCCGTTCCCATATGCCCTCCTCCTCTGCCCTTGCCAAACGCTCTTATCTTGTATTTTCCCCCTCTCCCCTTGGCTTCCCATCCCTGCGCCCCTGGGTGAACCAGCCCTGCAGCTGTCGATGCAGGAGGCAGCGGAGGAGGGAAAGAAAGAAGCAGCAGCAGCCGAAGCAGGGGCGGCAGGTGAAGCGCCAGCTGCAGCAGCAGCAGCAGCAGGCGCACCTGGGGATGTGGATATGAGCCAAGTGCTGGGCGACGCTTCCTTTGTGAACTCCATCCTCTCCTCGGTACGTCACTGCCATGTTGTCATTGATGTGTCTCCAACCCATCCCAGTTGCAGCAGCAGTGGCAGCAGCACCGGCAGCAGGAGCACCACCACCACCAACGAAACCTGGAGTCTTGGATATGAGGTACCGTAATCCCCCGTATATAACACCCGCCGAAATAGTCACTCCATGGGTGACATATGCGGGGGATAGCTTATGATATGGTACATTTTTGAGAGTATCCGCTTTTCTGAGTTTGCATTGTACATAACACCCTGCTGGTTTTTCTTGCCTTCAAACAGTATTTGGTCCTTCATTACCAAGGTTCGCTCAGCTGCAAAAAGCGAGTAGGATGAAAATCGCGTCAGCTGCCATTAGCAGTGCAAAAACGGGCAGTGGCAAAGCGAAATCGAAAGACAGCAAGTGTCGAGAGGATCTCGAGTCTCGACCGTCCATCTTGCAGTTGAACCACCTCGATCACGTCAGCGATGGTCGAGAATATCTCGACCGCTTTCCGAGGCAC